CGCCATTGTTGCGACACCCTCTGTGGCCCCTCGTAGGTGGGCGCGCCGCCAGGACTGGCCATCGATCAGCGTGAAGCTGATAACGCCGGCGTCGCTCGTGTTTGGTTAGAGATTAATTGACAGGCCGAGCGACGCGGATTGCGCAATCTCTGGGAACGTTCCCGGACGCAGCGCCGCCACTGCTCGGAATCACGGGGACGGAGATGACTCGAGTTTCACAATCACATGGAAATCTTTCCGCTAAAAATTCTCACTTCTGGAAGAACGCAACGCACGCGTCAGCGCACATCGCCGCCCATAATAGAAGTCACCGGCACCCCATGATGTGTGCAGGAAATAAACGCACTTTTTATTCGATCGTCACATGCGTCATACAGCCGACGCTTCGGGGCCACGCAGGGTCCCTCCTCCTGGGCGTCATACAGCCGACGCTTCGGGGCCACGCAGGGTCACTCCTCCTGGGCGTCATGCAGTCGACGTTTCGGGGCCACGCAGGGTCCCTCCTCCTGGGCGACATACAGCAGACGTTTCGGGGCCACGCAGGGTCCCTCCTCCTGGGCGTCATGCAGCCGACGTTTCGGGGCCACGCAGGGTCCCTCCTCCTGGGCGACATACAGCAGACGTTTCGGGGCCACGCAGGGTCCCTCCTCCTGGGCGTCATAGTGACACATATCATGGAGTGCCGGTGACTACTATGATGGACTGTATCCGTGTTGTCACTTCCAGCACCGACTTCTCACCAAGGTCTGCACGCTGTACGAGGTCTCTCAGTCAGAACCGCCCGGCCCGATATCGGTCGTGTCAGAAAACCCGGATGGAATACCGACGTGTCCCTGATAATGATTCGGGGCCCCGGCGAAGGGTCGTGTGTTGGCCCTGAAACGCGTTGGCTGTTCGGTCTGATCATGTGATGAATCATTCCAGCGATTTGGCGCCGGCGCTCGTGTGGCGCTCTTACTCTCCGAGTCACGCTCCGGGTTCCGCCTCGAGCGGCTTCACCTGAATGATGTCTTCTGCGTTTTATTGAACAAACACGTCTTTGGCGTCAGTCAGGTGTCGGGCGGTCTGGTGACACCTGGTATTCCGGATTCGAGTGGTTGTGATCAGATACAATCTCTGTAA